AAACACAATAAAAAGAGTACAACATGCTAAGGATTATTGCATTAGACGGCATAATCAGTAACTCTTGTACTCCCACACAAGAGAAAACAAAAAGCAAAACGAGGTTTAGGTAAGGTTAGCCTTAAGGTTTGCTCAAAAAATGTCAACTATGACAGAAAGAAAGAAATCTATAACTAAATTGTTTATATTGCAAAAAAGTCGATCGAATGAATTCATTTTGGAAATAGAATGAGCTTCCTATGATATAATATAGACAATATTTAGTGTAAGTCTTTGTTTATATACGAAGAAAACTAGTTCTGGCTGTTCGCTTACAAAGAAGTGCCATGCGTTGGAATTCTAAACTTTTAGTGCTCTTTCAAGACGTCTATATTAAATATGAAATATCAAGTGCATTGCCATTAAGCYAYGTTGAGATCACTAATCTGGCCTTATCTTCATCTCGGAAATCTTGAGCGAATAATACTGGCCTTTAAAACAAGACCACGTGACACTGGTGGCATATTGTGAGGTARYACCCCTCAAGTAGAGGCCGTTGAGGTTGCTTGMGTGACAGCCTCTGTACCACCATGCACCTTTGAAGCGTACTGCACAGGATTTACTGKMGMCGTCGTTGTCACGGTCTTTTGTAGTAAATGCCATTTTATTGTGATAGGTCAAACAGTCTCCAGCATTTCCTGACAACAGAAATGCAAACAGGGTTTAATCGTCTAACAGCCTCAGGGACCACAAAGTATGGGATGAGGGGTTATTATTTTTTGACTTTTTTTTCAATTCGCCTCAGAAATTACGAAAAAGTAATCTCTACCATTCCGCTCTTGAGAATTAAAAATTCAATAAAGAATATGCTCCGCGTTTCCTGAGCTTAATATTTTCTATGTCTGTTTTGGTGAAGTGCGTTGTGACATTGATGCAAGTACAAGGATAGTGGACGATTAGGGAGACGAAGTCTCTTGCAAAACACGTCTATTGGAAGTCAAGAATCCTTTGTTAAATGAGATGCGTACACACAGTTTGAAAAAAAAA